TCTGAGTCTCTACTTCCTCACTTATAAAATGAGTATAAGAATATCTGTGGAATCTGTCTTATAGGATTGTTGTTAGCCTCCATCAAATAGCCTCCTATAAAGCAACCTTTAAAATGCTACTCATGTGTAAATTTTTATGATTATTTATTTACCTTCCTTATTTCTATACTAAATTGTGAGCACCTTGATGTCAGGAATGTGTCTTGCTCAATTTTGTTTCCCAGGGCCCAGCCTGGATCCTTGATTCTTAATATGTATTTGTTCAGTTGCATACTAAAATAACTTCATCTACTATTCCCTCCTATTAATGAAGAAGAATCTATAGAAAATATTTTGCTTTAGCTTAATAAGCTTATAATTCAAAAAGTCTTGCTTAATAAAGAAAGGAATTTTTCATCAGAGTCTTTTGGAACTAAATGATATTTTCTAAAATGCTACAAGCTAATAGCTTGGGTAAAGAAAAAAAAATGCTAACCAAATAGTAAATTCTGGATGGAGCTTTCTTGTTTCCCCCCCAAATGTACCAAATTCAGTATTTTCTGCATACTCAGAGGAATAATCTTCTAGTGTACATTTCATGACATTTATTCACATCCTTTCTGTTCATCATTCTTTGTCATGACCAGTAGAAAGTCCAGTTGTTCTCTCATGAAAGATCACAGTTTATTTGAGGTTTTGATGCAGAATAAGCAATGTTCCCCACTTCTTATATAATGTGCTTTTTCTTTGTATCCCCAGTGCCTAGCACAGTGTCTTGTTCTTTGTGCGTGTTGAACTGTACAGACTATCCAGATGGAAATGGAAAAACTCAAGCTTAAAATGTCAGATGTTTCCAAACATTTGGCAAAGCATAGACAAAACATCTGGATTCTTGACTGGATTTTTCCACTTTCATTCTCATCTTTGGTGTTGGGTAAAAACAGTTTAAGATTGAATTTGCGTAAGGAACTAAATTGTCATCAAAGGATTGCAAGCAAAAGGCCTGTGCTTGAATCACCCAGGAGAGCCCTAGGAGAAACAGCAGCAAATTGCTGATATCCTGGGGATGCCAAGAGACATAATCATGTCCTCCATCCCAATATGCCCTGAGAGAATGAGAGTTTTCTTTATGTTGCTTATTTCCTCTTTGCACGCCAAGGAGGAAAATTTGGTTATAGAAAAGCAGTATCTAAATGCTGCACTAGTAAGTTGTTGGTGCCCCATATAGCTATTTTTTTTTTTGGCCACAAAACTTCTTCCTATAAACTCAGCAGAGAATATTTCCCTGGCTTGGCTTAAGCCCCAATAAGCTCCCCCACTGTGGTTTGGATCATGAGACCATAGATACAGAGCTGAAAGGGATCTGAGAGGCTATTCAGTTCAACCCCTTCATTTTACAGCTAAGGAAACTGAGGTCAAGTGACTTGTATAATGTCATAGAGTTAACAAGAATCAGAGGCATCAAAAATCAAACCCATTTGGGGCAGCTAGGTGACGTAGTGGATAGAGTGCCAACCCCGGAGTCAAGAGGACCTGAGTTCAAATACGGCCTCAGACTCTTGGCACTTACTAGCTGTTTGACTCTGGGCAAGTCACTTAACCCCATTGCCTAGCAAAAATAAACAAAAAAATCGAACCCATTCTCTAACCTGGAATTATAGAATTGTTAATAGAATTTATAAATACGGGGATGAATTTGTGTCTTATTATTAATTTATTTTTATAGAGTTATTTATTCAGTTTATTATTTCTATTTATTTAATTATTATTATTAGTTTTAATATGTATGTGAAATGCATCATACTTTAAATACAAATATTTAAATACAAAGACAACTAGAATGAAAGAAAATGCCTTAAAATTAAGACAATCCTTCCTTAAAGGGAAGAATTGTATTGTTTTTCCTTCTAAATAATATGTTACTCTTAATTTGTAGGAGGCAGCAGGGTGAAGAGAAAGAGGGAAGAAAGTAATGAAGCAAAGAAAGAAAAAGAAAGAGAGAAAGTGTCAATAAATACTAAAAATACACAGAAGAGAGCAGAAGGAAATTCAGAAAGAGAGATAGTCAGGAAAGTGTTTCTACTATTGTGTTAAATTTAACATATGCCCTAAAAAGCCCAATCTATACATAATAGGGATTCACAATTTCATATACAAATACCTTTTTTTGTTGTCATTTGTACACAGACAGTTTCATATCTGTTAAGTTCACAATACAATTTTTTAAAGGATTTATAGGATTCAATTCCTACAATATACGTCCATCCCTTGTTCACTGTACAAGGTTAGCTTATCACATACAGAATACCAAATGTTAAATTAATATTTATAGATTCTCTAAAACTGATGTGATTCTCCATGTCTTTTCTGACATTTTACTACCATTACTGTCAAAGAACAAGGGGTTGCCAGAACTGAGGGGTCATTAAGCATTTTATTTTCTCCCATGGTTTCCACGGGCAAAAAATTCCTCACCCATTGGCCACCATACTAGTGATGTGCTTTTCTGTACTTAGCTAGGTTGGATTTCAGACAGCAGAAGCCATCTATTACTAGGCCATGGATTCTCCTGGAAGCCTTTCCAGCATGGCAAAGAACTTGCAGAGCTTGTGTTCCATTAATAGCCATCCTGAAGCTTTGGAATTATACTTTATGAAAAAAAAGAAAGACAGCTTGGGACTATGGAAAAGCGCACTGGCTTTGGAGCCAGGGAACCTGGTTTTTAGCCTGAGATCTACCGTTTCATGCCCATATGATCTTAATTTAACTTGATTTAACCTTTCAGGCCTTGGGAAATGAGAGGGGTTGTCCTAGATGATTTCTTAGATCCCTTCAGGCTCTAAATTGATGCAGCTATAGATAATAGAAATTAAATCTGTTCTACAGGAATTTTCAGAAGTATGTCTATACCATTTCATAGTGGAAGTATTTGAGGGATGTACCTCTATCAAACCACAAGCAATTAAAATATGATTTCTGGTGGCAGCTAGATGGCACAGTAGATAGAGCATGGGCCCTAGAGTCAAGAGGACCTGAGTTAAAAATCCAGCCTCAGACACTTACTAGTTGTGTGACCCTGGGCAAGTCACTTAACCCCGATTGCCTCCAAAAAAAATTTATGATTTTTGAAAACCAACCCAACCCTATAAATTAGGTTCAATAAACAGGATTATAGGATCATAGATTTAGAGCTGGAAGGAATCTTAGAAACCACCAAGTCCAACCCTCTTGTTTTACAAATAAGGAGACTGAGGCACAGATAGGGTGACTTGCCTAATGTCACACAGTTAGTAAGCGTCTGAAGCAAGACATTAATCCAGGTGTTTCTGAACTGAAGTTCAATGCTGTATATTGACTGTATCATGCTTCTTCTTACTCAGTCCAGAGCTAGACTGCACACCAGGTGATTCACATTCCCTGTGAGTTATAGTGAGAGAGGTATCTATCTTCTATGCCCCTCCCAAATCATTTGAGGACTGTGTCTCCCCAGCTGGAAAATCATTGATTGTCTTGCTGAAAGCTCCCCCCAAAACATCACTGGTGATTTTTTTTTTTATTTTAAGGGTCCAAGATTCAAGACACCAGAGATGTTCAGCCTTGGCCTAAATTGATATTAGGGTCTGGTACCTTAACATGGCAATTTCTCTTTGCTTTGCATTCTGAACCTATTGATTTACAGAACTGTGTTGAGTATTAAAAAGTACATTTTTTCCCCTCTAGAGGAAGAGAGAACAAAAAACAGTGTTAATTTGAATTTGACAATTCTTTTGAGGCATAACAGGTACTCCTCCTTCCATAATAGAGTTTTAGACTTTACAGATATCATTGTGCTGCCTGCATTTGAGGATTTCTAAGACTCTGAGCCTCAGGGAAGGTTTTATCAAGGAAAATCCCCAATCTCTTCCCCCTTGAGCTTTATCTTTGACATTTTCATATTGTTTCCAGTCCAAGTAGGCTTCATGAATCTAAGTGATTTGGGGCTGCTTTGCCCGAGTTCATTTCTTTATTCATTACTGTCCAAACTCAGCAACACAGTTATTCCTTCTTCTTCCTCTTCAGTTGTTAAATTTATTTCTTGGCATTACCCAAGAGAGGGACTGACCAGGGCCCAGGAAAAGAGTCCCAGCTCCCTTCCCTTGGGTAAAATTCCAAGCTAACCTCAAAGCACAGTTTAAGGGGTCTTAAAGGCCTTTTCTGATCTCATCAGCTGTTGGTATTCTCTCCTTGTTGAAATTATTTTGCATATGCTTATTTGCTCAGTTCAGTCATTTTTTCAGTCATGTTTCAACTCTTCTTGACTCCATTTGGGGTTTTCCAGGCAAAGATACTGGAGTGGTTTGCCATTTCCTTCTGCAGCTCATTTGACAGATGAGGAAACTGGGGCAAACGGGGTTAAGTGACTTGCCCAGGGTCACATAGCTAGTAAGTGTCTGAGGTCACATTTGAACTCAGGTCCTCCTGACTCCAGGGCCAGCACTATATCCACTGCACCACTTAGCGTTAATAACCCCATGCTTATTTGTAGGCCCCCTGTATTGCTGCACTGCCCCTCCTCCAGTAGAACGTAAGCCCTTTGAAAGAAAGGATCATGTTTAATTTTTTCCCCTTTCTCCTTAGGACCTACAAAAATCATCGGTCTTAAAAAGAGTATGTTGAACGGCACTGGACTGAATAATATTCAGAGATCTCTCTACAGATGAGCTTATGAATAGCTAACCTTGTCTTAGGCCCTAACTCTGTAATACTACAACGCACTTGAGCTCTGGAAAGGATAAATACGGAGCCAAGTCACAGACCAAGAAGGTGAAATGGTATGAGAATGGGGCAGCTAGGTGGCGCAATGGATAGAGCACTGGGCCTGGAGTCAAGAGGACCTGAGTTCAAATCCAGCCTCAGACACTTGACACTTACTAACTGTGTGACCTCGGGCAAGTCACTTAACCCCATTGCCCAGCCAAAACACACACACACACACACACACACACACACACACACACACATGATATGAGAGTATGCCATACCCAAGGTGCAGCCCAGGCATCCTTCTTCACAAAGCATGCAGTCTTCATAGTCTGGATCTTTCACTTCCCCTAGACAGTGGATGAATTGAGAGCTTTGAACTCATTTTTAATCAAGTGGAAGGACACTAATGGCTTGGAAAATCTATTGTTAAGTAATTTCTTTTTTAGCAATCAGCCAAGTAATTAAGAAGTTGATAACCCCTTTCCAGGATGTATATGTTACTCCCTTTTTACTTCCTTATATTAATTTAGTAGATTAGATCAGCTGGATTGAATGAAATGGGGGAAAAAAAGTTTGGATTTATGCATGACAAGTGGACTTAAAATCCAGTTGGTGGACTTATTAAAAAAATAGACATGCCACTGGGGAATGCAAAAGAACTCAGCATGGAAATGAACAGTTTTATCTATCCCTTCAAACAAGAACCTTTTCATTTGCTTTAAATCCTTAAACACATAGGGAAAAAATAACTTCCTTAATTATTCTGCTTGCTAGAGTGCTTTTCATCAGGAGAACTCCTAGTCGTTATTCATTGAATCGAAGATATTCTTAGTACAAAGGAAATAAATCACTTCAAAAATTAAGAAAAAAAAAGACTCAGAGTCCCACTTTCCCAGGACACAGAATAAACTACAAGTTGGGAAGCCCTAGAGCCATTATAAGGATGGGTTGACCGAGGCTGGCAACGGGAAGCTGGAATTTATAGGGCACTGACAGTATTGAGTTTGTTCAATCGTTTTTCATTCTTATAGTACTGAGTTTTTGTTGTTCAGTTGTGTCTGACTCTCCATGACCCCATTTTGGGGTTTTCTTGGCAGAGATACTGGGGTGGTTTGCCGTTTCTTTCTCCAGCTCATTTTACAGATGAGGAAACTGAGGCAAACAGGGTGAAGTAACTTGCCCAGGATCAGTACTGAGTGTAGCATTAGTTAAAATAGAAAGTCACCAGATGATGTACTTCTCCTGGGTGGCTAGCCCCCAGGAGAGCCCCTCCAAGGCCCTGCCCCAGCCTGCTTTCTCTCTAGATGGTGACCTCCTGAGCAGGCTTCATGGAAGTCCCTCTTTTTAAGGAGTTCTGTGTTTCAAGGTGTGAAGAGTATCCTTGTGCTTCCTTCTCCGCCCACTCAAAGGAACTTGTCTTAGCATGTTCATTTGATGCCGCCTTTTTTGCTGCTTACCTTGGGAAGCCAACATGTCTAGTTATGGCCCTGGGAAGCACTTTTTTTATGAGGGTAGCTCCACTTTTCTAAGTGTGTTCTACACTAGCACCTCATTAGAGTAATGCAGAGGGCTTTGTGAACATTGGTAGAACATAAAGGGAGGTAGAGTCCCGAATGGTTTAATGGGTAGCATATTGGATTTGGTGTTGGGAAGGGCTGGGTTCAAATTCTGACTTAGCCCTTTACTAGTTCTATGACCTTGAGTAAATCCCTTAACCTCTCTGATCTTCCGTTTTCTCATCTGTAAAATGGGGATAATAGAAACCACCTCATAGAGCTATTGCAAATATCAAATGTGAGAATATATGTAAAGAGTTTTAGAAACTTTAAAGTGATTGTTTAAATGCGAGCTGTCATTATTTAAAAGCTCTTTGAGGACATGTGTTTATTTTTTTGTTTTTGTATTTCAAGCACCTGATACAGTGCCCTGCAAATAGTAAGCTCTCAATTAATGCTTGCCAAATGAATGAAGTGCTTTCTCTCCATAGACAGGGCCCATGGCTGATCTCTCTCTAGGCAAAAGCCAAGCCTCTTGATACCTAGTAAGTGAGAAGGCGATGCATCTGCATGGAGGAGGGAGGAGAGATTTGGAAGAAAAGGTGGGGAGTGAAATCATCATTGCCACTTTATACACAGGAAAGCAAAATGTGGTGGGGCGTGCTGTCACCGGATGTATCAGTACTTGGGTCAAGGATGGGGAGCTCCCACTGGAGTTGGCTTACCTTCTTTGCATTCTAACTTCTGACAGATGTTGTTTGTAGGTAAGATGTAGTATCCTTGCAGACATCGAGTGCAGTATGAAGAGCTAGTGCAGAGCTCACAGTTCTCAGGGCAGGGCAGGCAGGTGTGGTCAGAATGGTGGTACCCGGCAGGGCAGCCTTCCCGGCACTCACCCAGGTACAGGAAGCGTTTCTTCCCATGCTTGTCTGAGCAGGAGAGGAGAAGAGAAGAGAGGGCAAAGATGAGGGAGAGGGGATAGTCACAAAACCTCTGTAACATATCAGAAAGAAAAAAATGCTTTACCTCCCAGGAGAGCATAAAAATAAAAGTTGCTTTAATAGGAATCTCATTATTTTTAAGCCTGTACGTGTCACATAATGGAAAGAACAATGAGATCCGGGTTCTAGTCCTACCTCCAACATTTATTATTTGTGTGACTATGAGCGAATCATTTAATTTTCTCGGGCCTTGCTTTCCTCTTCTATGAAATGGATGGAATAATATTTGTAGTATCTACTTTACATGATTGTTGTGGGGATAAATGAGCTAATGTATCCAAAGTACTGTGCAAAATGTAAAACAACTCTGTTACTCTCAGCTATTATTATTACTACTACTACTACTAATAGTAGTAGTAGGTAGTCATAGTAGCAGTAGTTGTAGCAGTAGTAATAGTAGTAGAAGTAGTAGTAATTCTCATCCAAAAGATCCTGTATGGCACAGCGGAGAGAATGCTGTATTTCAGCATACAATAAGCATTTAATATGCATCTACTATTTACCAGGGGCCAGGTCAGGCAATGAGGAAAACTGAAGTAGTCCTTGTCCTTAAGGAACTTACATTCTATTAGAAGGAAATAACACATATGTTGTTGCTGTTGTTGAGTTGTGTCCTACCCTTCATGACCCCATTTGGGGTTTTCTTGGTAAAGATGTTCAAGTGATTTGCCATTTCCTTCCTCAGCTCATTTTACAGATGAGGAAACTGAGGCAAACAGGGTGAAGTGACTTGCCTAAGGTCACACATCTAGTAAGTGTCTGAGGCTAGATTTAAACTCACAAAGATGAGTCTGTCCGGTTCCAAGCCCAGTGCTCTGTACCACCTGGCTATCCCTGAAGTATAATAAATGTTACTAAATTACAAAAAAAATCCCACTAATATTTAAAAGGTTGATTATTTTAAAAAATTTGAAATTAGCATGTTTCTTATTAAAATTCAACATAAACACCACCTTATGCTCTATTTTGCTGTAGTCCATTTTTGAACTTGGTAAAGATTCTCATCAGCTGCTGTTTAGTGACTGAAAGGATTGTATTTGTAATCCTAGCTTTAAGCTCATCCAAAAAATAAGGCTTTGATGCACAAATGACAGTTTTGATGAGACTCCTCTAGAAAAAGTTGAATGGAGTTTGATTAGGTGACCAAGGTGACCAAACAGAGGACCTACCTCTACCAGTCCAAAAGAGGTCTGAGAACGGGTCATCTAGAAATTGCAATGCATAATGACAAGTTGCCCCATCTTGCTAAAATTAAAAACTTTGCAAAATTTGCAAAATTAAGTATGAAAGCCATTTAACAAATTAAACTTTCAAATTACATTTTTTTTTGCAAGTTTGGAGGATTTCTACTTCTGAAGTTTTTAAAACTTAAAACGGCACCAGAACTTTCGGGATGTGCTGTGTATGTATCTTAGCATATGTGTATCTACCTACACCTATGATCAGACCTGTGATTTCATTCTACAGGCAATTTCCATTGAGGGATATCCCTTTACCAGTGCCTATTGAGTACCAGTTCTGTAATTTGTGGTCTCAGAGAGATGCTCATGTGGCATGGAGAAATTGAATGGATTTCCCATGGTCACATAGCTAATGTATTACAGGCAGAACTTGAACTCAGTTCTTGATTTTGAGGCTATCTCTTTTCACTATGTCAAGCTGCTTCTGAAAAGCAAAATATATACAAAATAATTTATGCGGCAAGGCAGAGGCAGAGTACCATGAAATGGGGGACAGAGGATAAAGGTTTGTTTCTGTTTTTTGGCCCAGGGTCATACAGTAAGTCTGGGTTAGAGTCAGGATTTGACACCAAGTCTTTCAGAAACCAAGATCAGTCCTTTAGTCACAGTATCACACCTCCTTTTGTACAGTGTCATTGGAAAATGATGATTTATTTATGTGCATAAACCCACGTAGGCAGCAAGAGGGAAAAATCCCATGTACACGTTTGCACCTTGGCTAATTTTCCAATTTGCCTGATCGCACGCACCATGAGGGGTGTGTGTGCGTGTCTATGTGTGTGAAATATCTCCCCTTTATGAGCTCACATATTAAAAAAATTACAAAAAGCCTAGACTAGATTGCTTTATAAAATATCACATAACTTCCAGGAAGACATATAGGAAGTACGGCAGGACTACAAATTCATCGTACATAATAAATTTTTTAAATGGGTTAAGGATATATTTCAAAGATAATTTAAAAGCATCTTAAGCCTTAATCTAATGTCTAGAAATCCAGCATTAAAGAACTTAAATAAAGGAAATTGGTGAAACTGATAAACCTTTAACGCAGAGGCCATAATCCCCTGCAGAGAAATACCAGATTTCAGCAACAACAACAACAATAATAATAACAACATTTATATAGTAGTTTAGGGTTTGTAAAGTGCTTTACATATGTCATCTCATTTGATCCTAACGACAGCTCTGAAAGTAGGTACTCTTCCCATTTTTCAAATGAGACAACCGAGGCTGGGAGAGGTTAAGTCACTTGCCTGGAGTCACGAAACTAAGTGTCTGAGTCAGGACTTGAACTCACGTCTTTTAGACTCCAAGTTCAGTGCTCTAAGCATCTCTACACAAATAGGATACTACAGCAGAGGTCATGACCTTGGTGCTGTTAAAAGAATACTTTTAATTTTCTTTCAAGCAATAGCAACGGAAAGCCAGTGCACGAATATAAAAAGTTGTGCTAATACATCTTCAAGTCAGCTGACTAATGTTGACCATCAAAGACCAACTCACAGGGAGGACACAGTCTCTTTAGTGGAAAGGGCACCCACACTGACAACATCATTAGCTTTCAGAATTACCCAAGATTTTAGGTCTCTCAATTGTCTCTAACCCTGTAGCTCCAAAAACTGATATAGACTCTTGCACATTTGTCGTTCAATTGTTTTTCAGTCGTGTCTGACTCTTTGTGACCCCATTTTGGGGATTTTCTTGGCAAAGATACGGGAGTGGCTTGCCATTGCCATCTCCAACTCTTGCACTTAGTAGGTACTTAATAAGTGTTTGCTGTTGGATACAAAGAGAACCACTGATAGTGTAAGATGGGAGACTGAAATTCAGAATTGTTTATATATTCAAGTCATGGGCATGCAATGTGCATTTCATTAGGGAATGTATTAAATAAGATTTTAAATTATTAATTAATACTATCAATTTTACTAATTAATATTTTAAATTTAAGATATTTTAAAACATTTAAAATATTTTAATATTTAAAAATACATTTATTGCATTTGATATTACATTTAATGTCAATCATAAAAAAATTAATTTTAGCTATCAAGTCATTTCAAGTCATCAAAGAAACTAAAACTTACTAAAATAATGAAATACACTTTACTTTAAAAAAATGATCTTTAGAAATGAAACACAAAATACCAAAAAGTTTTTGACACATTATACCTGGCACATAGTAGGCACTTTATAAGTACTTTTTGATAGATTCATGGTTTGGGCACACCCAGCACCCTCTGTCCACATGCCTATGATTTTTTTCTTTACAGCAAGATGTCACATAAATCCTGTCAGGTTGGCAGGAGAAGTATATTTATCCCCATTTTAAATTGACTGGCCCAAGATCATTTACTCAATATCAGAGGCAGGATTAGAACCCAGGTCTTCTGAATCTGTAAGCAGGCTCTTTTCTTTGGGCAAAGGAAGTAATTTAAATTGAGCATTGAAGGGGAGGTCATCAAACCAAACATCTTAGAGGCTGGTTCCTTTATGTAACGCCAAAGTAGAATAGCACATCCATCCATGTCTACCTTCCATTTATAAGGAAAAGAATGCAGGTGAATGCAGGTGCTAATTGAAGGTGATCCACCTCAAATTTAATTCTCTTGCTGGACTTTGCTAGAAATATCCTTGTTTGACATGAATTTTGATTTTCCATAAAAGGAGGCCCATACCTCGAGGGTTTTGCATGTCAGACATAAAGTTACTGTATAGTATGATGACTTTTCATCATTACTCCTACAGTATAACTTCAAACAAGAAATAGGTTAGAATGAATGCCCATTGCTACCATTTTCATTCTGAATTATTATTACTTATGATCATCATTAATTACTATTAATAACTGTCATTATATAGTGCTTTAAAATTTGCAAAATACTTTATGTAATTATCTTAATTGAGCCTTTCAATAATTTTGTCATGTATGACTGACAGGTATTATTATGCCTCTTTTACAGAGAAGGAAACTGAGCCTCAGATCAGTTAGCTACCTTGCCCAGGGTCATACAGCCATTAAGTTCCAGACACAGGATTTGAACTCCATTACTCCTGTCTCCAGGTGTAGCGTTCTATCCATCAGGGTCACAATCAATTAAAATGAAGCTCTGTTTGACCAGGAACAACTATTGTACAAATATATACTTGGGAAGCTTCATTCAAAAGCATTTCTGTTATCTTCCCATGGGATTCTCCCAAAGAGAAGAAAAAGGAATGGATTGGAAGGGCGTTGGCATTTAAAATATTCAGCCTATTTGGAAAGGCTAGGAAGACATGTAGTCCTTGGTTTAATGATAAGGGCCCTAGTCCTGCTTTCTTTAGTTGTCTGCAACAGACCACTGCTCATTTATGACATCTGTCAAGGCTTGGTTCCATTTATGATGATCTAAGCACACTTGGTTACAGATGATAATTAGGATCGCCCACAGGTTTAAAATGTCAGCTTTAAATCTTTGAATTCCTTGCCACAAGCTCATGGGACTGAAATTGATGTAATACCATAAAACCCTGGAATGAGTCAAGGCCGGCGTTAGGTGTAGGCAGAGCAGGCAGCTGCCTACTCAGTGTGGTTTCTGAGGACAAAGCCTTTCATTCCAGACTCAGAGAAGAGGCTTATAATTCATGTTCCCCCGAGAGGCAAAACTCTGCCGGGAAATTCATATTCAGATACTAGTTTTGTTTAAGGGAAAGACTGATGAGATCGCTAAAACCAGGCGTCAAAGGAAAGGGACCAAGGAAAGGAACTACAGAGAGGATAAAGGGCACAGAAGTAAAGGCTGAAGACTCTCAAAGGATAAACTTCACCTGCTTCATGCTTCTATCTCCAACTGTCTAATGTGAATAACCTACTGTAAGGAAAATAAGATTTGAAAAGCAGTGCAACAGGACAGTATAACATATTACCTACTTTGTGACTAGCTGAATTTGTCTTTCTGTTCAGCGAATCAAAGGGGAACATTTTTTTAGCCTTCATCCTCTATTTCATACAGTGCCAAAAAAGATTTTTTGTTGAAGCTTGAACAAGCTTACGGCGTATGTGTCTTCTCCCCAGAAGGAGAGAAAACCTTGTTTTCAAATGTCACCTGACTTATGCCTCTTCATCTCTGATGTTCCCCTGTGGGCTACTGACATACTTGGCAATAATGGAAGGGGGAGCAAACCCTCCACACCTTTTCCATTTTCTCTCTGGCAACTTCTTGGAGGCAGTCATGTGAAACCACCCCCTGCCCCCCTTCCACCTCCTTGGTTCCGTGAAGTTTGTAGGCTGTTTGAAAGTGGCTTCTCCATCGATGCTGAGTGCCGGGGGAGGGGGAAGGTTCAGGTTGAGACCCAAAAGAGATAGTCTAGAAGAGCATGGCCCACTCCCAACCTTTGTGTAAAAGCGATGCCAAACAAGGGCAACTCACAGAGTCGTAATTAGGGTAAGGCAAGCTGGGACTTTGTCCCGGAACACCAAAACTTGGAGGGCACCAACATTCAAAACATGTACTTTTTTTAACTATGGAAATAAAACTAGGTTTAGTACCTAGTGAGCAAGAATAATTAGATAAAATATGAAGCTGCCAAATGGGGGACATTGTCAATAATCACCATCTATGAACCACAATGGCAACTAATCCTTCCTCCTGCTCAATTGAATTTTTCCAATTATTGTCATTATTTTCAAATCATGAATTATATAGTTGACTTGAGGGTGTCCTTGCATAGCTTACTCCAGGGCCTTCTGTTCATGTGTAGGGAAGGAAGGAGTTTTTCATCAGAAGACATCTTTTGCAGGTTTCTTTGTGCCTTTTCACTAGTTTAGGGGTAGAGTATGTGGAAAACTAGGCCACTTTTTGTGAAGCTATTCTAAATTTGTTATGAATTGGGGATAAGGCCAGGGTGAGGTTTAAAAATAACAGTCCTTTATGTGTCCAAAGGATTGCAGAGTGCCTAATACAGTTTTGACACTTGGTGAATCAGAGAGACCTAACCTACCCATCCATTCTCTTTTTTCAATTTATTATTTATTTATTTTTAACATTCTTTTTCTTTTAAAATTTTGAGTTCCCAATTCTTTCCCTCCCTGCCTCCCTCCCCGCATTGAGAAGGTAAGCAATATGGTATCAGTTAAGATCCTTCAGTGTTCCCTGAAGCCTAAAACATAAGCCTGGCATCCAAGGCTCCCCACAATCTAGTGCTGCCCTTCCTTTCTCATCTTCTCATATCCTCTCATCTTCCTACTCAATGCTTCTGCCACATTAGATGATTTGCTATCTTTTGTATAAACCCCGGACTTGACCACTGCCATGTTTTTGTTCTCACTCTTCCTTATGCCCATATTGCCCACTGTTGAAATATTACTGTTCTTTTTTTTTTTTCTCTTTGATGAGACAATCAGGGTTAAGTGACTTGCCCATGGCCGTACAATAGTAAATGTCAAGTGTCTGAGGCTGGGTTTGAGCTCAGGTCTTCCTGACTCCAAGGCTGGAGCTCTACCCACTGCACCACCTACCTGTCCCTTCTTACTGTTCTTTTTTTTGTTTTTGTTTTTGGCTAGGCAATGGGGTTAAGTGACTTGCCCAGGGTCACACAGCTAGTATTATATGACTGAGGTCAGATTTGAACTCAGGTCCTCCTGAATCCAGGGCCTGTGTTCTATTCACTGCGCCACCTAGCTGCCCCTCTTACGGTTCTTTATAACCCAACTCAAATATCACTTTCTCCAGGAAGCCTTCTGTGATCCTCCCAAGTAGTGGTGACTTTTCCTCCTTGGGACCTCAAATATGTTACTTGTACCTCTCTCATACACTTATATATTATTAATATTATAGTTTTTTGTGTATATGCCCTATCTTCCTATTAGAGTATGGGAGAAATGACTATTAATAACTAATGATTTGGGGAGATTCGGAGTTCCCCCTTTTTCTATTTTCAAGACCTCAGCCTCAGAAGGTTGCGTTCACCTTCTCTATCAGACCCCACCCAACTTTACAAGGAATCTTTAGTCTAAGGTGAATTCCATTCTAAAGTTTGGGTGGAGACTGACACTTTTGTCTAAATTGCCCAACTTTGGATATAGAGATAGTCTCTCAGTCTAAGGGTGACATTATGACACTCTCAGCCCTTCATTGTAATATTCATTCTCTCATTAATTGTTAACCAATCAGGTTAGATTCCCACCCTGGGGAACACCTACTCTTTGAAGGGTATATAAACTGTGAGCCTACCACATGGCTTATTTTTGGTCTAAAAGAGAAATGGCCAAATGACCATCCTTTTATTAAAATGCTGCCATTATTAATAAAATGATTAAGTTACCTAGAAATTATATCTCTAGAACCTTTTAATTGACACAAATGTAAGTTCCATGAGGGCAAGAATTTTGTCTTATCTAAATGTTTTAAATCCCTCAGTTCTTAGGATAATATACTATACATAGTAAACACTTGATTTAATTAAAATCAGGCAACATTTATAGATTTAAATTCCAAGAACTAAGCTACTCACACTTTTTAGTAGCTCCCCTATGCGTGTTACCTCTCCCTATCCGAATATAAGATTTTTTAAGACAGGGACTCTCTTATTTATGTATCTGTATTTCCAGGACTTAGCACAGGGTCCAACGTTGAAAGGCCTTTATTCCATCATTTATTCGTTTCTGACTCCTAGCCTAGCACTCTACTCACTAATTAACACATCTCCTAAGTGTTGAAGAACACTGATGAGTAGCTGTCCAGGCTCACCCCCTGAGTACAGGAGACAATGCTTCTGAATAAAGCTGAGCAGTAACAGTGGAGGGAAGGATTTGAAACAACAGAGAATGAGCAACTCTCAGCTATCCTTACCTGTGCTACAGGAGGTACAGTTAAAGGGCTCACTTCCTTGGCATTCTTGGCAAGTGTGATGACATGGAAGGCATTGGTTGTGAAATTCAAATTTCCCTGAAGGACAGGTCAGGACACAGCGGCCATTGTCGAAGAACCTGGGGCAGCAGGAAGAAGAACACAAAAATTACAGAACTCATGAAGGAATAATTCTTCGACAACAGAGTGCTAAAACAATGCTAGACTTATGTATTCTTGTTCCACACTGTCCTTTTTCATTTCATGATTCTACGCACAAAGACAGCACCACTGATCCATCATCAGTGGAGCCTATACTTTAAGTTGTTGTCCCATTTACACCCTTTTACCATCCCCTCTCCCTCTTTTCTAGATTTCTCAGAGAGCATCCCTGAGAAATTTGATTAACGTGGCTCAGCTGCCTTAGGTGGCACGGTGGATAGAGTGCCAGGCCTGGAGTCAGGAAGATCTAAGTTAAAATCCTCAGACACTAGCTGTGTGACCCTGGACAAGTCACTTAACCCTGTTGGCCTCAGTTTCCTCATCTGTAAAATGAGTTGGAGAAGGAAATGGCAAGCCACTCTAGCATCTTTGCTGAGAAAACCCCAAATAGGGTCAAGAAGAGGCAGACACAACTGAAATGACTGAACGATAACAATAGCTGCCTTGGGGGAAGATGGGGATAGAGGAACAATTGAAGAGAAAGTGGGAATGCTATCCAGAGCCCTGAGGCCCAGGGAGAAGTAATGATGAGAGCAGGAAATGCACAACCCAGATCCTGGGAAAGAGAGAAGGCAAAGTGGTAATATGTCATCATAAACTCACAAGGGATTGAAAATAGACATTTGCTTGTGCAATACTAAAAGGGAGAGGTTCCTATAACTCCTCCCTTTCCTCCCCACCCCCCACATTCACAGGCCTCCTTATGATTTTGGGATTGTAGGGACCATGCATTAAAATAAACTTAAGAAGAGCCAAGGTGTGCCATCTTGAGTTGTAAAAATACTCTGACACTAAGCCCACTATGGGCTCCTGTTAGAGAGTTGGTCTTCAGGAAAAAGTGGTGAGCCTCCTCAACTAGAAAAGAGCTGCTAATGGAGTGTGGAGTGGTAGAAGTCAATGAGCTCCATCTGCTGGAAGATAGTAGAAGTACCAAACAATGGAGGGCACAAGATGGAACCTGGGTTGGGCAGGAGAACTGAGGAGCAAGAGGGGGCTATGAAGGATAGTACAAGAAACTAGATGATTACCATCTGCTGGAGGAGAGTGGAACTACCAAACAATGGAGAGCACAAGATGAAACTTGGAGGGGATACAAGAGTTGAGGAGCAGGAAGAAGGAGCCATGAAGGACAGTGCAAGAAACAAGAAGGCTGCCTTCTTCTGGAGAGGAAGGGAACTACCAACAAGGGAGGGCAACCAGCAAAGTCAGCTTAGAGAAGCAGGAGGAAAAATTACTAAAAATGAATCATTTGACTGCCCCCCTCCATTCTGTTGCCACTCTAGTACTACCATTTCCCTATTTCTCTTCTCTGCTCTTCACCTCTTGCTATCTGAACAGTAACAAAATCAATACCATTGCTTCTAGAAGGGAGTGTCAATTGATTCACCTATGACTCCACGCATCATCTCTATGACTTCCCAAACCAAAACATCTTGGCCACCATTCCCTTATATGTTATCACCTCCTACCAGAATATGAACTCCTTTAGGGCATGGACTGTCTTATTATCCCCATGGCTTAACACAGCTTGGAACAGAGTATTTGAGAAGTATTTTTCATTCATTCCATCACTGTGGACCATTAAGCCATGAAGAGGAGCAGCAAAGTGGGAAAAGTACTCTAATAACCCTAAGATATAAGGCTACCCTGGGAAGTACTGTAAGTCCCAAGGACTATGCAAATTCCATATGTTTCAAACTACTTGCATATAAAACTGTTCATGTTTTGAGCTTTGTCAGCCTGTGTGCTTATAAAGGGAACTGATGATTACTCCTGAGGGAATGTCACATACTGAAGCTCTCATGATAGAGGCAAAGATCCAGAGAACTGAGAGATATCTCTATTGTGTTTGGGTTCTTTGGGTGAGAAAGGAACCTCTGACATAGGTCTTATACTTTTTTTAGGGAACAACAGAGATGCAATCTCTTTTTCCCTATGGATTACTTCTGAGAAGTTTTTCTTGTCATTCTCAAATGGTCCTCTTTGGTTATAGGAATATCTCAAACATTATTTATCTAAAAATTGTATCACATTATATAGAATAGAAATTGGCAGCTTGCTGAAATTCAACTCTATATCCATATATCTGGGAGGAAATGTGATGTAGTGAGTGGCAGTGTGGTATAATGGATTAATCATTTGACTTGGACTCAGAAAGACCTGGGTTCAGATTCCACCTCAGATACTTACTAGCTAAAGACCCCGAGAAATTTACCAAATTTTTTTTATTCCTTATTCTCTTCATTTGTAAAATAAAAAGGCTAAACTTGATGACCTCTAAAGACCCCCCTAGGTCTAAATCTATGGTGCTATGATCCTAGTTGAAGAGACCCAGACTTGGAATCAGAAGACCTGGGGTTGTGTCACTTCTGGGCCTCAATGTCCTCATCTATAACATGAGGAATTTGAACTAGATCAGGGTCAACAAACTATGGGCCAAGGGTCAAATCTGGCTTGCTGCCATCATAGATCATAGATCATGGTGTCATAGCACAAGGAACCATAGAGATCCAATGGTCCAACTTCTTCTTTTCAGAAACTTAGGGAAGTCAATAATATGTCAAGATTCCATAGGTCGTAATTTGTAGATCAAAGATTTGAATTCAGGTCTTTTGATTCCTTTATTCTGCACTACTGTATAGTGGGACCAGTGAGCCTCTGTCCCTCTCCCCACTTTTGACTACTCAACACTGCTTGGACTGAGTCACAGGCTCTTTCTACACAGTGACCTTATTACAGCCAGCAATACTTCAGCCCAACTGCTGACTTTGTAGACTCCGCCAGGGGTACACTCACAAACATCTGGCTGTCCATGTCGTCACCTAGCCTCCACGCCCAAAAAAAGGCAAATTATCTTATGAACCCCACTAGGCTTACAAAGAGGAAGACCTCATTGGTCAGACTGATAATTCAAGCCAATGAGGAAAAACCCAGTTCCAAATTAGCTATGGTTTTTGAGCATGGGAAGATTTATCAAGGAAGGATTTGATTTGGTTCAAAGAAAAAATAAAATAAATGAAATATCCTCATTATGTGGTGTTGGTGGAGGGGGTGGGACAGGAGACCTAGATAAGAGTTTTCAAGGTTTTCAAATCAAAAGCCTACCTGAAGCGGAATTTAACATGAAAAAAGGAAAATGGATGTACATTCATCCAATGTGCTCACTTTCTTACTAAATCCACTTGGGGGAGGTTGGGAGAGGAAAGGGAACATAGAAAACATATCATCACTTTATCCTTTAGAGGCACCAAAGAGAATTTATCTGAAAAATCATTTATCTCCAGTTTGGGCCTCTCTCTTGTGACAGGGTCATTTGTGAGTATCTTCAGTTTAAGGTGCCTCTTAGAGCTGTCCTGAAATGGACGAGGGCGGGACCCCTAGTGGAATCAAACCACTTTTGTAGAAGAGAAGAACTACTTATTTTTCTATGGGTCTTGATCTTTTCCTAAATCTGAAGAGCTATGTCATGTTTTTAGCAGAAAATAAAAAGCACAGGGAAGAGAATGAGAGAGAGAGAGAGAGAGAGAGAGAGCGAGAGAGAGAGAGAAACAAAATAGCAAAATAAAACTCAGCCTTTATGTGAAGACTGGAATGAAAAGAGCAAAGTAAAAGTGGTCCAGCAATAGGTTAAAAAAAAAATTCTGCTAAAAAGGAAAAAAAAGAGTGTCTGAATTAGTAGCTATCTCTCTGTCTCTGTTTTTGCCTCTCTTGTTTTTTCTGTCTCTGTTTCTCTGTGTTTTTATCTCTCTTGGTTTCTTTGTCTCAATGTCTCTGTCTCTGTCTCAATATCTCTCTGTCTGTCTCTGTCTCAATGTCTGTCTCTGTGTCTATTAAAATGTCTGGCAACTGTTGGACGAGTCACATTTCCAGTTGTTTCTATTTACAGGGAGAGCAACAAATCTTCCTGAGAAGAGGATGGATGTTTCCTTTTGGGTTCCAAGGAGATTGAGGGATGTTCTCTTTAAAGCCATCTGTGGGACAGCTAGCCTCCCTGCTCAGATCACAATGGCTCCAGGCCAAGCTTCCTCACTGTAAATCAGGAAAGCTAAGAACTTTACCACCACCAAATTTCAGATCCTCTTGACGTTTTCATTACCAAATTGCATCCAGTCATTCAGGTCTAATAGAGATCACACAGTGCAGAGGGAAAGTCAGAGCCAAGACCTTAAACAGCTGGGTAGAGGCACTGTCCTTAGTGTTGGGGGTAAATATACCAGAACCCCCTAGGGTGACGTTCCACTGTGTGGTGTTTTTGATATGTGCTGGAACAGATGATCTCAGGATGGAGTTATTATATCTTTTGTTTTCTTTTGTTGACTTTCCCTAATTAAAGCCACTCACAATAGTCCTTAATGTAATTTCTTGGTACTTAAATGTTCTAATGGAATCACAACCAGGAAAAAAGAATTCCTGTTCCAGAAGTCCACAGAAGTGGAGCAAAATATTTTTGGATTGGAATAAGAGCAAAAGTAGCTTTTGAATGCTTTTTAATTAGTTGCCCATCTTTAGCAGAACTTTAACTAGGGAGGGGTGATGGGGATTTGCTCTAGCGTACCACGTTTAGGGAGTACTGGTGGAACTTGCAGTCAGTACTTCAACAGCATAGAAACAACAGAGCTTAGTACCTAGTCAGCAGGGTTAATTAGTTAACAGATGAAACCACCAGATAGTAAAGTGAAATAAACTCTTTCCTCTCACCAGACACACCTTAGGACATACTTTGTGCCATTTTCACTGCATACAGTTTGTAGTACTTGTCCCAGGTTCATAGCTCCGTAGTTGCAACTCTGATCTTTAGGTCTTAATCCAAAATTTACCTCATTATCTGAAAAACCTTCAGAGGACAAGGCATGCTATACAATAAATAAGCTGTCTCCTTTGTGTTTCCAATATAATTTTTAAAATTTTTTATTTATTTTTTAATTTATGGGCTAAAACAAGCATTTCCATATTATAGTATAATTTTTCAAAATGATTGCACATGAAACTGCAAATCTATTATGTACAACTTGTTATTTCATTTAAATATATAATAAAGTTATCATGTAAATTTCTTTTTTTTCTTCTTTTCTTCCCCCTGCCCCAGAGATGACTACTAATATCTTTTAAAGGGGTTTTTGCTTTAATTTCAGTGTTTTGCAGGAAATCATAATTAACCCAGTGAAATGGCAAAGGGAAAGGTGCAGAAGTTACAGGCCAGAGTTCATTTCCCCTTTCATTGTAAGGCAACTTCCTGGATTCAAGGTTACCCCATAACATGGGCAGTGTTAGTCCATAAGAATAGGAGAAAACCTAAGGCCTCACAAAGAACAGAATCTTCACCTCCATCCAACATGAGGTTTAGTTATTCTGATGACCAAAAGGAGTACCTGTTTGTTTTCTTCCAAAATAAAAAGACTACTCTGTTGCTAGAGTAAGGAGAGATTTAAAGTAGTCATTTCACTTCTATTATCCCCTTTAAAATTCAGAGATTCAAAGAATTCAAAGAATCAGAGAATTCAAAGATTCAGAGAATCAAAATGGAAGGACTTCATCATGTTTCAGTGTGGACAGAGTACTTGCAATGGAATAAGGAAAACCTGGATTCAAATCTTGCCTCTGAAAATAACTCTGTGAACCTGCACAAATCATTTAAACTCTCTGAGCCTCAGTTTCCCCATCTGTAAAATAAAGGGTTTGGATAAGATATAGCCCATTCTAACTCTAGATCCATGGTCCTTCCCATAACATGCTAGAGGTGTTTCAAGTTAAAGGAGAGAAAAGGGGTGTCAGTGGTTTCAAAACATCATCTCTGGATCTAGTCTGGATTCCAACATCAGGAGATATCATTTTCCTCCCTCTAAAACCCATCCCTCTTCCCAACTTTCCTATTTCTATAGTTGATCTCACTTTCCTCTCAGCCACCCAGGATCAAATCCTTCAAGCTATCTCTGACTTTGTTCTCTTCCTCACATCTGATTAATTATACCATCTGTTCTGCCTCTCTGGAGTCTCTCACCTACGTCTCCACCTCTCTCTTCACCTCTTGTTAGTTAAAGATGATATCAGTTCTCACCTAGTTCATTTTAAATAGGTCTGATAATAGGTCTTCCTGCCTCATTGTCCATGTAGGTGCCAATATAATCTTTCTATGGCACAGATCTTCCTGTGGCATTCCCTTGCTTAAAAACTGACAGTGGTTCCCCATTGCCTAATGAATAAAATAAAAACTCCCTAATAGGGCAGTTAAGACCCTTCACAACCTGGATCCAATCTAGGGAGACAGTCACATAATAGTCAACAATTATTTTAAGCTCTTACTATGTGCTAGGCACTGTGCTAAACCCTGGGGATAAAAAGAAAGGCAAAAGAGAGTCCCTGCTCTGGGAGATCTTATAATCTAACGTAGCAGAAAGAATGCTGAATGACTTGGCATCAGAAAACCTAATCCTATAGGACTTTTTCTATTGGTATAGGGGCAATTGTTCCATAGCATCTCAAGCTATGTGATTCTCATCCATGTCTTTCCAAAATTATGCTATGGTGGATACACCCATTGCTCTGGACACTTTCTTCTTGTTCTTTTAGTATCTTGTGGATTTACTTGTTGGGTGACCTTGGTCAAGTCATTCAGTTTCTCCGGGTCTCAATTTCCTGATTTGAAAATAAGAGATAATGCGGCTTAATGAATACAGAGCCAGCCCCAGAGTCAAGAAGACCTTTGTCTCTGACGAATCTTGTCTATGTGACAATGGACAAGACATTTAAAATCTCACTGTCCCAGAAAACTCTCTGAGACTCTAAGTCTCAGGAATTGTTCTAAATGCTAATAGTACATGAGTCTACTGTTCTGCCCTTATTTCATACAATTCCCCTTCATGTTCTGGCCACACTGATCTACTAGCTTTTCCCCAATCTCATCATGCCTCCATGCATTGATGTATGCATAGAATATATTCCCTTTACATCTTGGCTTGTTTATGTACTTCCCTTTTTTTCAAGACCCGTATAAGGAGCAACTTTTCCCACTAAGCCTTTCTTAATTAAACTCAGTTAAAAAGTGATTCTTCCCCTTCTCAAATTTTCTGAGAGTTCTCTGTCCAGACCTTTCCTTTGCCCCACTGTAATCTATCGTGTATTGATCTTACTGATGCAACTGGGTATTTAGACTGATGTCCTTGTGGAGAGAGAAAGATTCTGGTATGTATCTGCATGGGCTCCTGGGAATTGTAGTTCGGATGGACAGTGCAAATCACCCCTCCCTCTTCTCTCTTCAGTTCCTCTCAGCAAAAAGGGTAGTGAGAGTCCAGGATGAGAGCTTTAAGCTGAAGAGCCTGACTGTGAAGCATCTTCCTCCCAATGTCTCGTGATTGTTCCCCATCCCAGGGCCGGAGGAGACTCACAATATCCACTATAGTGGAATCTATGCCGCCATATAACAACTATATAACAGCAGGAAATCGATCTGCTCATTGCCACAGAAGCCCTTCTCTTTATTATCCATAATTTTCCAGTGCATTGCTAAAAAGTTGGAAATCATAGAGCAAAATTATAAGTAACCCCTATGACAGTGTAAAGGTACCTTATAGGCTTAAGTAGGATAGACCATATTATCAATGATGACTTGCTTGTGAAAAGTGGTGCAAAAGATATTGCCGAGGACATCAATGACAGACCAGAAGATGGGGTATTCATATAGTGAGAATTTTTCTTTTTAAAAGAAGCCTTGGGGCAGCTAGGTGGCGCAGTGGGTAGAGCACCAGCCCTGGAGTCAGAAGGACCTGAGTTCAAATCCGGCCTCAGACCAAACACTTGACACTTACTAGCTGTGTGACCCTGGGCAAGTCACTTAACTCCAACTGCCTAAAAGCAACAAAAAAAAAAAAAAAAAAAAGGCCTTATAGGATGGCTCTCTAAGAGAGAGAGAAGGAAGGGCACTGGGGAAATCCCAGGAAATGTAAAAACAAAATATATTAATGAAGTTTTATTTTAAAAAAAACCAACAGATATACAGGGATATTGCTACAAAATATTAAACATGAGAGCTAGACCTCTAGAGGGACAGGTGGATGCCTCATGAATATTTATGAATTTTAGATGATAGGGCTAGGGTTAGAAAGGACCTTCGATATCATTAAGTTAAACTACCTCATTTTATATCTCGGGAAATTGAGGCCCAGAGTGGCTAGGGGACTTTCAGGATCCCACAGCTAGTGAGTACCACAGGCAGAATTTGAACGCAAGCCTTCCTGTTTTTAAGTCTAGTGTTTTATCCACAAGAATCATTGAGAGGAAATGGAGGGGCTACAACCTGTAGGGAGCCCCTAAACTGATTAAGTCATGTCATGGGATCATCAGTGCATGGATCCCCTTTTTCAGACTGTAAGGTCCTTGAGGAAAGGGAATATTAGTATCTTTTTTTCCATCTTTGCAACTCCCTCAATCTGTAAAAGGCCTTGCAAATAATATGTTTTCAATAAATGTTTGTTGAATTGAATTTTCTTAAAAAGCTAATAGGGTCTGGCCAAGATGGCCTGTTTGATCATTGGAAAAGTTGTGCGTTTTGTTTTCTGACCACTGTGAAGCTAATAGATAAGGATTGCTAACACTCCATTCTCCCTTGGGAATCTCCCCCACGCCAACCTGTTGAAGAATATAGCTGCTGCCGCATAATGGGTGAGTCCCGTGACATAGCTCAATCTCAGTTTCCTCATCTGTATAATGGGGATAATTAAGATCACCCACCTACCTCAAAGGATTGTTGTAAGGATAAAATAAGATGATTCATGTAAAGCATTTTGCAAAGTATTGTATAAATGATAGTTCTTATTGTTACTATTACCTTGTAATGGGGCAGCTAGTGCAGTTCTCTCGAGTCGGACCCCGGCACGTGAAACAAGAGGCATCACAGCGTAGGCAGAGGCCCAGGTCATCAATGTATTCCCCTGGGGAACAAAAGCCAGTTGTTTACTTCAGCTCCACATAGCCATGCATGAGATGACTGCTTTGTCATTCTGAGGGCAGCCAGACTTCACAGTGATTGCTTGCATAAGAAAGAAAAAATGGAGACACTCTAGAGAGACCCTGACCTCCTCCAGCTGCCAATTTTAAATCCTGACCTTACAACAACAACTTCTCCTCTCCCAGGGGCCTTCAGAGTTGGACCCTTAGAAAGTTATGAGGCAATGACATATTTTTGAATCTGGTCCGTATGTGTTACAGATTTTAAAAGTCAGGGAAGACTAAAGGGACTTCCCAAAAGGACTCCTTCCTTGACCTCCTACTGATTTGCCTGCTAAAAGAGAAGATCTGTTGTCCCAAAGGGGCTTCAGCTGTCATCTGGGATGAGGCAAAGTGCCAAGCAGGACCCACCCCAGAGCATGCCCACCCTGAACACGAAGCTCTGTGGATTGGCTAGGAGAGGGAGTCAAGTCTAGGCCACCAGTTGGCAGATGTGTGCTACCTCTCACCCTGAAAGAGGAACAACGCTGAGATGGCCAGAGAATCCCCGACTTAATTTAAAAAGTTTATCTTTTGCTAAGACAACAACAGCAATAACACATGAGGCCTTCGGACAGAAGCAGCCAGAATTGTGCCAATTTCTGGTGGCCTTACCCACTTACTACAGAGGAAGTTGGAGGTAAAGAAGCAAGACGACAACAACAACCACCACAAGGTTGTTGGTTGACACTGAGGTACCTAAAAATGTTTTTAGGGTATTTGTATAGGTTAGGATGTATGTTAGGAGAGAGAGGGAGAAAAAGAGTGAGAAAGGGAGGGAGGGAGGAAGAGGAGGAGAAGAGAGAGACAGAGAGACAGAGAGGGAGAGAGAGAAGAAGGGAGGAAGAGGGGTTAAGGGAGAGAGAGAGGAGAGGAGAGTTATGGTACAGAAGGATCCCATACTTATTGTCACTTCCTTAAAATCTATGCTCTTCCCCAAATGCAATGAATGGTGTGGCCTGAATCAAGTGGTCCCTTTTCTTATTTCAAAGGGCAGTTTATAAAGACATAACTAATCTTCAGAAACCATGCTCTCAGTCTTCAGCTCCATCACCTCCCTCTCTCTCTCTCTCTCTGTCTTCCTTTCCCCCTCTCTCTTTCTCTC